AAAAAGGGTTGCAGCAAAATTTACTTGTCACCTCCATTCTCTGGTTTTCGCTCGACTGTGAACTCATTGAACCATGGGGAAATGATAAATTTGATGTACTCCAGGCACGGGTTCTTTTCCACAACTTTTGGGGGGCAGAATGCTTGCTTTATTTTCAAATTCACATTGGCCTGTAAAATTGACCAGTTAGCAACTGATATCAAAGGTTCGCTTGGTCAAAAATAAAAAAATACCTCTTCGTCTTCCATGTAAATGGATGAAGATGGATCGCTCTTAGACATCTTCTCCTGTCCTTCCTGCAGACCTGGGAGCATATCTACATGCAAAAAAGATAGTAGATAAGATTTCAATAATTAGATTATTTTAGTAGAGGTTCAAATTCCAAAGTCCAATGCTTACTTTTTTCTTTTGATGTCGTCACAGTACTCCCTTGCAAGCACATTTACTTTCCTTTGGTCCATCCCCAATTGGCAAATATCAGCCTGTTTAGACAAATCAGCAACATAAACATTGAATGAACTGAAAATTGGTTCCGTAATGATTATAGCAGCTATCAATGCGCAAGAATATATGGAAGAAGACTAACGTGTTGAAAACAATAGCATCAAGTTATTGGAAAGAAAACTACGATAAATTCTTTGTACGACTCATCCTAAAGAATTTATATTGGCATCATTAAACTCAACTTGTACCAACACACCAAATAAGGTGCAATAGATCCATATCACTGCCAGTAATGTTAATAATGTTCATCAGCAGAGCTCATTTACAGGAACAGATCTAGAAAGGCTTCTCAAAAGTAAGACATAATGCTCAGGGTTTATACAAGGTTCTAAGTGGACTGCACAAACAGAAAAACTAAAATGGATAATATAGAAGCATCATAATTAACCATTATGTACACAATCGTTTGAGATGATGGCAGTTAATTTAACTCTAAACCATATAAACATTCAAGTACCACCAACAGTATGAAAATCAAGACTAGAAAGTCAACTCTAAATGGGAAAGGGAAAAAAGAACAAAGAACATTTCATCATAAAGAATAAGTGAAGACAAAATTTTCTCCTTAAATCAGCAGATATGACTTAACACAAATTACCAATGGCTAAGTTTATCTAATTTGCAAAACATATTCACATGTTGCTTATATAATAGTCACCTTAAGGAAAAAAATATCAGCTCGCTGCATGCAAGGATAGAAGATCTGAGCCGCAGATAATTCATCTTGCTCTGAACGGCCCATAATTTGACAACATCTAAGTGCAAAATAAAAAAAAAAAA